GCATAAGGTTTTGTCATAACTTTGAGTACTTTTTCATATATGTGACTTGATTCTAATTGATAGTCAAAATGGGTGTACAATAACTATATAAATGAGTGTATTTTCGACCAGGATCGTCAGCATCGTGGTTTGGGTTGAATAAATCTTTACTCGTACCAGTCTTGGTGTTCTTACTTTACGTCGTGGGGATTGTAGTAGTTCCTCTTTTTTTTCAAGTATAAGTAATAAGCGACGCGGATATAACTATCCTTTACAAAATCAACGATAGTTTTATGGAAGATTTTATACAACATGCATAACCTAAGTATGTAAATTTGTTGATATTTACAAAACCCTGAAAATGATTTAAGATAGGAAGAACAAGAAGATAGCAATTATCAACAGCCGAACAAAAACAGAGAAAGTCAAGGCACAAGCTGAATACACAGAAGGAAACAAACAAGTGAAGAAGAGCATTAGAGCCGACAAGCAGAAATATAAGGAAGATCTAGCAATGACAGCGGAAAAAGCTGTAAGAGAAGGAAATACGAGATAACTATATGAAACGACGAAGAAACTCGTAGGAAAATACAGTAAAGCAGAAAGACCAGTAAAGGAAAAACAAGGCAAGCCAATCACTGAAATTCAAGGACTGAGGAACAGATGGGTAGAACACTTTGAGGAACTCTTAAATAGACCAGTTCCATTGAATCCACCGGACATCGAAGCAATAAACATAGACCTCCCTATAGATATCACTCCACCAACGACGGAAGAAATCAGGATGGCCATCAGACAAATCAAGAGTGGGAAAGTAGTAGGACCTGACAGCATACCAGTTAAAGCACTGAAGTCAGATATAGAGGTAACTTCAACATGCTCCACGTTCTATTTAAGAAGATTTGGAAGGAAGAACAAGTTCTAACAGAATTGAAAGAAGGATATCTCATCGAGATACCAACGAAATGAAATCTGGGCAAATGTAAGAACTATAGAGGAATCAAACTACTATCGGTACCAGGAAAAGTTTTCAACAGTGTTGTTGAGCCAAATGAAAGGTTCAGTTGTCCTCTAAGTCTTGGAATACGTAAGGATAGGTTGTTAGCAGATCAAATCGCAATACTACGGATCATTGTTGAACAATCAATCGAATGGAACTCGTCACTATACATCAAATTCCTTGACTATGAGAAAGCATTTGAACGTGTAGATATGAGGACTTTATGTAAACTTCGACAATATGGTGTACCTGAGAGGATAGTCAACATCGTCCAGAGTTCATACGACGGACTACAGTGCAAAGTGGTGCATGGAGGACAGCTAACATACGCATTCCAAGTGAGAACCGGAGTCAGATAAGGTTGTTTACTGTCTCCCTTCCTCTTCTGGTGGTAGACTGCATTATGAAAACTTCCATATCTCAAGGAAAGCACTGAATACAATGGACAGGCTGGATGCAATAGACGATTCGGACTTTGCGGATAACCCAGCTCTTCTATCTCTTGTTATTGGATCTTTCTTCAGGTGTTTATATGAGATCGACATACAATGATAGTGAAAGCTAGAGTAGAGCAGAGGTTTAGCAACCCCATCCTGTAGAAAAGAACCTTGCTAAAAAGACGCTAACCAGAAAAAAATAGACCCATTAATTATTTCATGCAGACAAATTGTTCAATATATATGTGAATAGAAGAATAAATAAATGATAAATGATTAGCCGTCAGATATGGATTACTTTACAATCTGCCATAATTATCCAGAGATACTTTACATTAGTACGACGACAAGAAATAATAATATTCATTGTAGTGGAAAAATAGACATAGAAAGAATATAATCCTAAAAGAGTAAATAAAATCGGCTCTCAAATACAACACAGAGAACACCAACCCAATCACAGTTGATGGCAAAACTCTAGAAGTGATGGGAAGTTTCACATACTTGGGAAGCATCATCGATGAACGAGGAGGATCTGGTGCAGACGTAAATGCGAGGATTGGCAAAGCAAGGACAAAATTTCCACGGTTGAAGAACATATGGAACTCAAAACAACTGTCAACCAATATCAAAGTCAGAATCTTCAATACAAACGTCATGACAGTCCTATTGTACGGAGCTGGTGAGCGGCCCATGCTCTTCCGTAAGGGGTAACAGGCGTAAGTAAGTAAATAATTAAATAAGTGATATGTAAAACAATCTAAAGATCATATATATTTAGATATTCTAATATGTTCAAATATCTGTAGGCTAGAAGAGCGCTTATTATCTAACGAATCACCGACGATATGGCTTTCTTGTTATCTGAGTTTAACCAAGAAAATACGGAAACAAGCTGTATCAATAAACAGTGTCAATATCTTAGAAAATGCGAGGAGTTTGTTTATCTACGCAAATAATGTCAGTTCCACCCTATGATGACATGAGGCCCCCTTCTCCCAATTCAAGAATGTCAAGTACCTTGTAGAATAATCAACAAGTTCAATCTCTGGGTAGAAAATAGTTGGGATTAATTTTTGGAGGTCATACGTAACTCAAGGTTGTTATATTAAAGTTTATTAGCTCGGAGCATCAAGTACCTTAATCTTTCACTAATCATAGTGATTATGTCTGGGCCTTAATCAAAACTGACATCACATTAATGTTTAAACGCGAACTAAATGAGTTATTGGCTAGTCGATCTATGACGCCTAACTGCAAACCAGATTTTGTTTTCACATTTGTCACTGAGGCTATGTTCATCCGTTACATAAGTTGCAGATCATATAATTCGCTAAAAATCAAGATAATAAAATACTTGTTATTATCCATCTTGCTTTTTGTTCTGAATGGACAGCTGGATGAGAACAAGTTCCATGCTTTACTTAATGTGTTATCGATGGTTAACTGACGTAAAGAAATAGTCGCTTGTAGAAATGGAGACAATAACATTCACTTGGTATTGTTTGGCTTGTATCATCCCATTGAGGTTTAAGACTGCAACTGATCAGTCTGTTATTGGCATATGTGCATACTGTGCGTATGCCTCGATATTGCCTCAATTCACAAGCTTTTTGTAAGCAATGATGGATAGTGGCTAGCAGTGAAATTCAGGACGCGCGTTTCGACCTAATTAAGACTCATCAGCTGGACTGAATATGAACCTAGGGATGTAGGCACATCCAGCTGACGATTCCAAATTAGGACGACTGGTTAGTTGCAGTCTAAACATCTATGAAAATATTCAAAGAACCAACTGATTAAAGTTCATTGGTGAATATATAGTTGACCACCTAGGAAATTAACAGCTCGTTCCTCAGTAATTATTTTTTATATAGATTCCTTGAAATTCTAGTAGGAAACTGTGACTTTTGGATTCAAACTAATTGAAAGTAACTCAGTTAACTACACTAGACATCATAATACGATGATGTCTTATCAAAAAATTGGAAAATATGAGTCTCTAGATCCTGATTCACTGTTTAAGTAGGATCATCCTATCCTAAATTAATTAAATGCTTTAATTCAATGCTATCAGTCAGTCTTGAGTGCTGTTAGAGGTATGAGGGCGGTTATCACTTCCCGGTTTCCCATATCGTGGAAGAGTTCTTCTGAAGGTACCTGAAAACTAAGTTGAATTAAATATAGTCTTAGAGACCTGAGAGCGTGACCGCATTGCCCAAGAAACAACTGCTTGAGGTCGGTCACACACGACCTTTTTATGGGTAATTTTTGTGTTAGCTCCGTACTTGTTGAGACCTTACCGCCGGAGACGGATATCCGTGGGATAAGGCGAGGTGTGCATTTTTAGGGTCGACCTTTTCTAACTCCACCCCTCCTTGTGGGAAGGCAGCATCGCTGTCATGCTGGTTGTCTGAAGGAAACACCTTACTGCTGTCACACCTCTGTACAGTCAGCAGTACGACTACGCCTTCGAACCTTAGGTTTGTTGCTTTTAGCCTTGCTGCTGGTCAACCGACCTGTCTGACATGGTAGGACCTTGAGGAACGGTTGTTCCAGACAATATAGCTTGGTTACTTCATTACGATAGGCAAGCCTGACCACCACGTCCAGGTAGCAACAACGGTCGGGAACTCAATGCTATATGGGTTCATGGGTGTAAATAACTGAAAAAAAATTACAAAACAATTGGTTGATTCTTTCTTTTCTGCCAGTAATCACTATCAATGAATAATCAACATTATTATAGGGAAGTATCATTCAAAAGGCTATTTGAACTCATGAACTTATTGGTGAATAACTTAGAATTTAAAGTAATAGATACTGAATTAAAACCTCAATGTTAATATCACTACTAATATTCAAGAATATCCATTTAATAAGTCTTAAATAGAAAGAAATACCCATTCTGGATTTCATTATTTAGTTATATTCCAAGTATACTCATATAAACTTCTTAGAAATCTATGAACAAGAAAAAAACAAAGTCACTTCAAATTCAAATGTCTATTTATTTATTAAGTACTAACATAAATGTTTAGAAAGAAGCTTCTTTTTTTTGTTTGTTTTCATTTACCCGACACCATAAAGAATTATTTATTCAAACAATAATAATAATAAAAAGAGAGAGAGAGAGGGAATGTATTTATTTGAGTACAAGTAACCACCTTATTACATTATTATTGTATTTCATCATACAACAACACTATCAATAAGAGTTGAATGAAATTGTATAACAATAATATAATGATAATTATTATATATAAATTACATTCATTGTAATTAAACATAATCAAAGTATAATAACTAATGATAATATGAATTTATAGAAAGAAAGATAAAAAGAAAAGTAATAAACAAGGTTGACGATGATGATGATGATGATCATCATCATCACCATATCAGTTCAATTCTATGAAATATGGTTGATTATTTAACATTATAATAGGAATGATGATGATGATACTAACAGCAGTGATACAATGAATAATAATAATAATAATAGTTATATAAAAAGTTATATGAAGAGATTGGAAGTGTGAAAAGTGAACCTGTCAACTACATGCATACATACACACATACACACATACATACATACATACATTCATAAAAGCATAGATGTATACATCAACTATGCAAAGGCATTAACTTTATTTTGTTTTATAAAGGCAAAGTCCAACAAAAGAGATCACTTTATTTGAGTATTTAACTCTTAACCGAGTATAGACAAACAATCAATTGAATATTGAATTCCATTTCATTTAGTTTTGTTTTTTTTTGTCGGTTTTGTTTGTTTGTTTGTTTGTTCAGATAACATCAATACAAATGGTTAAAAGTGTGAATAGAACAACGAGCAACTGGAAAAAAGAAAAAAAAAACAAACAAATGTTTGATACTGGAATATAGATGATCAATGATTTACTTTGAACATAAGTCTTATCATGAATTAGTATGGGGAGATACTATACTGCAACTATAGACATTGTAAGACAATTGTTTCTTTGTAGCTTAGAACTTCATAGAAGCAATGACTTCATGTTGTTATTAGTTCAAGATGAAAATACATCTTGAATTTATACAAACAATCTAAGTAAGTAGTCATCTTTAAGATTGTTAATTATACTTAACTTATAATTAGTTAATGAATGAAAGTGTTGATCTATAACTTCCAAGATTCTCAATAATGTTGAGTTCCATTTATACTTTAAAACATTTCATAAATTATAAAGTTTATCAAGGAAATTTCCAAAGGTTGTATATTTTTAAAATAGATAGAAAACGATGACAGTTATCTAAATTCACTTCGTATTGTTTTACTTGAATCTTCCCATTAATGTTTAAAACTGCAATTGATCAGTCTCTTATTGGAATATGTGCATACTGTGTGTATTGTCTCGATATTGACTTCACAAGTATCATAAGCAAAGATGGATAATGGCAAGCAGTGAAGTCCAGGATGCGCTAAGTGCATAATGTCATGGCGTTTGAGGTGGGCGGTACTGGGTTCGAGTCCCGAAGTTAACAGTAACTCTGCGATGCAAGTACGTTCAACTGATGACGAAACGCGCGTCCCGGATTCCACTGTCAGCCACTATCCATCTTTGCTGATAACAGTTATTTTCAAATCATATTGATTCATTAATTAGCATGAATATTTGTACATTCCAGTCAATCAATACAAACTTCTATACCTAACTTTAAAATAAATTTACTATGTAACGAGTAGAGATAGAATGGTTATTGCACAGTCTATGTAGTGGTTCTTCAATGTGAAAGACAATGTCGATAAATGCAAGGTTCAGTCGTTGAACAACTATAGATGGATGCTAATGCAACTCAACTAGTATCCTACTCATATCTGACGAGTTAAAAAAATATTTGTATCAGAATTCTGTGTAAAACTCAATGACTGGTGTAATAGTGAAACTTATTTAGAACATAAATGTTGTAATTCAGGTAAAGCAACACTGTAGATAGTTTAAGTTTCATTAGTCTCATTTTGTTCAAATATTCATAAACCTTGAAATACTAACAACCTACACAAGTGCAGATGTCCTAAAACTTACTGATTACCATTTGTACCATACTTAGAATACATGTAAATATCGCTTAAATTCTCAAAAAACGATTATTACGGATAATATAATTGTTTCATAAACAAAGATGGATGGTGGCTAGCATTGGAATACAGGATGCGCGTCTCATCCTATTTGAGACTCGTCAGTTGAATGAACCTGCAACCCAGAGTTGATATTCACTATGAAACTCCAACCCAGTACCATTAGCTTCAAACACCATCGCGTTATACATGCGCGTTTTGGATTCCACGTCTAGCCATCATCCATCTTTGTTTAGAATGCTTGTAACTTAAGGCAATATCGAAGCAATCCATACAGAATACATATATGCTAATGTCCTTAACATCAATCGGAGATTAAAAACAATGATTGTTTCAGTTTTTCAGGAGCTATTAAAAATTAAATACGGTTTTCTCTTCCAAGGGCGAGACTAATTTATGGACAACCTTTGAACGAATCTTAGGCGACTTTGAGAAATATTAGCCAATCAGCAAACAGTCAGTATAGAGTAAAAAGATGTTACACAAAACCAAGGAAATAAAGTGGATACACTTCTTATACGTAGTTCAGAAACTTGTCAAGGTTAGAAAGAGGTTCAGAGGTTCTAAAATCGTAATGCATGCATTATAGGAAATCATCTATGTGACTACAGAATAGTCGGCCTCTGGAGTCATGATATGGTCTTAAAAACTCTTTCAGCCTCGACCACATAGCTTCAATATTGTTTATGTGTACTCAGGTTGTTGAGTGCACAAAATGCTACTTGTAGATAACCACACGATGCACATAACTAGGCCTATATAGGAGTCTGCACATTCTCCAATCATCCATGTATTTTGTAGTATCTGGCTGCAGCCAGTGTTACTGGTGGTTTTATTATCCGGTTCACAATAATTGTCGTAATTTGCCTTAATTAGGAATTATATATGGTTTTTATCATGAACTGACATCAGCTATAATGTCAAAACTCTATTCCGCCAAATAGATGAAAGACTTTCGCGTTAAAATCCGAGATCTATTATCTTATACCTGATTGATTCGTCCACAAATTATAGTCTCGCCGTTTTATTTGTTATAACAGCTCAATTATCACGTTTTGTACAAAATTCCCTGTGAACCGATCGTACGTTCGCATTAAGCACTGAAGTTAGCACCGTAACCTTGAAATCTCTAAAACGCCTCTGATTGGCTCGTCCATAAATTAGTCTCGCCTTAATTCCTTTTATCCTTACATTTTGATCTTAATTATCAGTTAAGTAAATGAATTGAACTGAAATCAGATATTATCAATATGAACAGTCAAATAATTCAGAACTGTAGTTTAAAACTGCCGAAATCAATCACGTCCTCAGCTTCACCATAGTTCAGATTCACTGGGTAAGTAAATGTCTAAAAGAAACAAATTCATAATCCATGTTTCTATTGTTTGTATTGAACTAACACCCAATAATTGTTTAGAAGTGACAGATAAAAACAAACTTGAAATTAATTTCAAAAGCATTATTATGATTCATCTTTACTTACCAATAAAACAAATGCCCCAATTAATCCATAAGCTACATAATCCATATATTTAAGGAAAAATTCTTTCAATGGACCTCTACAACCATTTTTGTAATTACTGTTATTATCATCGAATTTATCTGGACATGTAGAATCACTGATTGCATAATTTTGATTCATTTTGCAACACGGTACAGGATATTCAATATCTATGTGTTGTAATGAAAGTAAACAGGAAGGGCATATAATTTATTATTCATAAAACAACAGTTTTATTCATTGTAGATGATATCGTTAACCAAGATACATAAATTCCGGATTAATGATTAAAATTAATTCAGTGTTCCAAAGTTTGATGAGACAAATAAAATTCCTATTTTGGGATGAATGTTCAATTTTGAAGGTAAGCTTCTTCAGAGGATAATGTCAGGTGGTGAATGATTAAAGACTAGTTAGATTTCAATTATAACTCCGCCTGAAGCTCCTCCGGGGTTACTACCGGTCCCAAGCCCGGATAGAGGAGGAGGGTTGAGCATGGGGTTAGCGACCCTATACCGTAGAAAACTAACTCGCTAAAAAACGCTAACCAGAAAAAATAACTCAAACCATTTAAATTCTGCCCTGGGAGTTAGAAAGTCTTCATTTAGAAGAGTTATGACGCCTCATGATGAAAGCCGAGTTCCTTCGGAAGTCATGAGGCCGATGCCCATTCCGACAACCAGAGAAACAACTAGTTCAGGTAGATGGAATGCCCGTACAATGTACCAGGAGAGTATTCCAAATCGCTGTAGAAATGAAGAGATACAACCTGGAGTTGCTTGGAATCAGTGAGACATACTTGACGTAGGTTGGACAAGATTTCAATTATGTAAGTGAATAGTATCGTTTTAATCACACAGCTTGAATATTCTGGGGTAAATTGTTACAGGTTTATTTGTGCAAAGTGCTAAATAGCTCAAATCAATCATTATACTAACTACGTGTAAAGCCAGTACAACGAATGTTGTGAGATGAAGTGAACTTATACGAAATATTTAGACAATACAAAATGAGAGTTAATAATAAGTCTATTTTTGTTATATCCCAATGAGTAGAAAAATTGTATTGCCGACGTTTCGTCACTTAATGTAAGTCAATTCTTCAGAGTAAATAAATAACTCAATGTATTGTTTCCCTGGTACTATTTAAACTTATGGCTATTTACTTACTCTGAAAAAGTGGCTTACATTAAGTGACGAAACGTCAGAAATAAAGTTTTTCTACTCATTAGGATATAACAAGAAATATTTTAATAGTTGAGATCATGAGTCAGTTGAAGCTAGACCACCATGGTAATACCTGGAGGCACTGAAAAAATATATATCTATTAGTAATGTTTGATAGTTTTTGTAATCTTAAGTGATTAGATAAAAACATAAAAATACACACCCTAAAAATGATTGCTACAAGCATGTTACTACTGACAACATTTAATAAAAATATCTACTATGGATCGACAAAATACTCATAAGAGAACAAAGATTATAATAAACACCTACACGGAAAACGATTGTAATTTATACAACTGTGAAATACTAATATACACAATTTTATTCACAATGTTATGCAATATTCTAATCAAACTAATGTATATAATGGCATTATATAGGCAAAAAATTTGTTTTATTTGGGCGCCACTAGCTGTATATACATTAAGTTTATTGATATTGTTTTCACCCAATGTCTATATTATTGTGTATCATAAATGAAGAAATATGAATCCTTTAACTAATCAGATATATCTTCCCGTAGTATACTTCAATCGGGCCATAATTTATGGGTATTGCTTTACAAAGAATATGTTTTTCAATTATCTTTAGCACATTTGAAAAACCATTGTGATCTGATCATGACATCATTTGGGAGGGACGAAGAACACTCCGAAAATACTTTCATTGTTGCTCAATATGATCGGAAGACCCTGTATTTTGTCAGCGTCTCTACAAAATATGGCTATGTAATCAACATATTCAAAGTCAATACGAGAACCTCCTCCTAAGAGATCAATCTTTTAAAGGTTAGATGAAGAAAGTGTAATGTCAACAAGCACCAATCAACATCAAGGTGTACAGGAAAAGCTGTGAACCACACATGGAGAAATTCAAACGCTGCACTTCTATCTGAAGTTTGTGCTGGTGATGTCATTCATAAGAACGATGAAAGCTCCACGACCAAACCATCTAGTTCAGAGAACAAAACCCCATCAAAAAGAATATGTAGTCTGCAGAAAGATATCTGCGACAAAATTAATTGAAAAGGAGAAAGGTTGAAAATCATGAAGAACACCACTTGAGAGTGATGTTTCTGACTACATTTCATCATAGGCTTTGACTGAGAAATTTGCGATTGAGTACACTGCCTTTACTAGTACGTGTACTTCTATGACGAATTAGTCAAATGGAGTTCCATTCAGTTCTCAACGTCCATACGGTATCATAGTCAAACTAGTTAGTTAAAACTAAAGATAAATAGAGTTAACTCATTAAGCCAATTGAACTGTTGCCTAATTTTTTTAAAACAAATTCATAAACAATCCATTTTTAAAATGAACTTTAAGAGGTCTTGATGATCTAGACATACAATGACTTGTGGAAACGAAATACTTGGTATCAGTTTTATTAATCTAAAGTTCAACTGTTGTTTCCTCTTCTTGACTGGCGTTCTCTGACTATATAACTTAGTAAGTATGCATTTAATTGAATATATGGCCTACCAGTAGGTGGCAGCCAGCAAAAGATCTAGGTCCAGAGTTTCTTTTTGACTAGCCCCAGCTTCCTGTTGTTAAAATATGTATATACAGTGGTTATAAGTCAGTTAGTCTGTTGACTCTGGACCGTACTTCAAGCCACATTTTGACGCAGAGTAAAAAAGGCATCAAAGTATATAGGAGAAACGCTTACTAGTATATGCTTTACCCCCGTAAGTGTCATTTTTCCAGAAATTAGGTGAACTTTTAAAGTCACTTCCACCATCCACGCCACAGCATTGAAGCTATAAAAAAATAAAAATATTGTGTGTTAATGAAAGGTTAAACAAAATTATCGTATAATTAAACGCATAATGATCTATCTGTTATTTGTCGAACACTAAATATAAATAAATTTATAAACTCTTTGCACTGAATCACTATAAACATTTTAAGAATAAAGATCCATTAAGTTTTTCGAAACTCGTATGTTTGGATCACACCAGGAACCTGTATGATTTAGCTTGTATGATCAAGTATTTCCTTCTAGGTTATACATATAATTTTGAAGACTGTGATGACTTGAAGAGCATAACAGTTGTCAGGCAAGAACTAAGTTAAAGATTAGAATCTCACTTCATTTACTTTCTGCTTCACTAACCAGGTAGAATTCGTAGCCCTGATACAATGTTAGGAATTTGGATTTACTTGTCGTTACGTAGTTGAATTTAATTAGGGTAATCAGGGTCTTAGATGTGACAAGTAGTCAAGGGTGCGGTTCCTGTCCAAGATTGCTGAGTACGGACCTTTCTACATCAATAAAACTTAGTCGTTAAATAATTAAAGAAAAAAACTAGATTCATTGATATTAAAATAATTATTTGTTTTTATTTTGGACAATAACTAGGGAGTAGTAATCAATAAATCATATTCTTCTCTGTTCAAGACTTGTTCAAGACCTCGAATCTATATTGGTTTTGATACTTACATGCAGACACACACATTACTCAGAAAAAAACATGAAGTACACGTGCTTACTGGAGGCGAGATTAAACCAACCACTAGACTGTCCAGTGTATTTGCTTCCATTGACTGATAATTCTTTACACTCGTCTCGAACATTTCAACTGCTTTGTTGCCAATCTAGGTGTAAAAAAAGTGTTAAAATAACAGTTAAATGTTGTGGAATAACTTTGCCCATATTTGTTTCGTTGAATATTCAGTTTGGTTTCATCCTACATCAGATAAACAAACCTGTGATTTTATGAATGATTTAAATACCTCTGATGTTTGCATAGGTTTTATGCTTCTTTGACTCTAGTTGTTTCAGCTCCCCACTATGTCATGGTTTCTCCTTACCAGTTTTCCCCCAACTCCTTTTCACTATTTTGATGTATGCCTTTAATTCCTGGGACCATGTGTGTTTTGTTTTATCTTTTTTTTCCGTTGAGAATTCCAAGTTAGAAATCGCATTGTGATGTATTTTGACGATTTCCACAATGTGTGTCTTATTCACCTCCAGCATCTCCTCTTAATTTCCTATTCAGCTACAAGCTGGTTCTTTCTATTTTAGTAGGTTATTGTTAATGGTATCTAGCCAACAGACCAAACAATTATTTATAAATACCTGCGCAAATTTGATGGTGGTTGTATTGGAAGTATTAGTTGCATATGTTGTGGATCTATTGATCAGTCATTAGGATGATTAAAGTGATTTACGAACCAACCGTCTGGCATGTGGATTAATTTGATAATCAAATCAATACATGAACTATTAATTCAGTTTATAGGGTCCAAATAAACAGTGATTAAGATAAACGAACACAAATAATAATCAACCAAATGAGTACAAAACGGTTAGCTCATTTATTTAACGGGTTTTTCAGCTGTTCCAACAAGAACAGATTTGCCCAGGTGAACATGGTCTAATGATAAGAAATTATGGTTGGTGTACTGAACTCACGCTACATAAACTCCATAGTCTCTTTACAAACTCATACTGTACTACATTTGAATCCTCAACGAAATCAGATAACTGATTATCAAAATTAGTTTATTTACATAAACCATAGGTAACTGATAACCTTGAAAGTCTAGAAATTTAGGAGTGGTATGAGCTACTTATATCCACTTAAGTAGTGTATAACGGTGGTCAGGAAGAGAATGTATTTCAGTAGAAGATCGAGAAGGAAAGGATGGGAACGGAACGCAATTGGTATGAAGATGGCCGAACAATGAAATCTGAGACGATGGATTGATATTTATAAGAAAAACAGTCAATTTTGAGACAATCGATTGATATTTTGCAAATTAAGTATTTACTGTATTGTTCTCAGATTTTAGTAAGAGGTTCTGTTATTTTGTGCTTAAATACATTTGATTATCCCCACTCGTGTTCTTGTTCACTACGTAAGTATTGAAACATTCAGCTTAGAGAATAACATAAATGAGTTACTGCAAATTTTCTTCAGTATCTGTCAACGATAGTTTTTTTTACAGTAATACAAGAACTTTTCTTCTTCTATATTTTTACATGTTACTTCGTAAGTATACTTCTTGTTTTATGATTAACATTGATGCTTTATTCAAATTTTCCATTTCATTTGATAGCAGCATTGTAATTGCATATTTCATTAAAGATTTATCAACTCGGTTATCTGAATGTCATTTAACTGATTCGTTCTTCCAAACTCAATCGCATATACATACATTAAGACTTAAGCAGTTTTTCTGGACAAATTATGACGGCAAAAATAAAAAGTCAATATGTTTTAATGCTGATACTATTACTGTTAGGAATAATATGTTCCAGAATTAAGGTACTTAGAATGCAATGAAATAAACCGAATGTATTGATGACATAATGGTACTAGTGATTGCAAAACTAGATACAATTTTTCTTATTGAGATCATGAATCGATCAATGCTGGACCACCATTGCAAACCTCGGTTCACTGGACTGTCGTTTCATCCTAGTATGAAGCTCTTCAGCAGTGCTAATCCACGATCGCGAACGTGTGATTCGAACCCTGGACCTCTAGTCTCACTTGTGAACACCTAACCTCTAGACAAATTATCCGGCATCCGAAATTGCTGAACACATTTCCCTAATTAAACGTTTGTATTTTTTTAATATCTTAATAGAAATATTTGTTTTGATGACCACTTTTATCATTAATAGACAACAGTTAAAGAATGATTAGAAACTATGGAGTACTGAGCAATTGGCATGTTCCGTTTTCAAACTCTTTAGCAATATACATTCATAAATTTATACTGGATTGAATGTCAAGAACATTCAAGAGTTTTTAGTGACTGTGACACCTTTGGACTACTTTTGGTTGTTCAGTCAGTGGTGAAATTTTCTTCGTAACTGTATGAACTCTCAACCGAAAGACTTCAGCGTACGAAATCGTGGATGAACACTGCTGAAAAGACCTATACTGGGACGAAATGGCCATCCATTGCTTTGAGGTTTCAGTAGTGGTCGATCTTAGACTGACTAGCGATTTCAACGGTGGAAATACAACAATCCCCACAAATCCTTCATATAACTGTACATTCAACTTATTCAGATAATTACTGCTATATGTATTTAGTAAGCTTTGAGTTCAAATCAAAACACTTTCAACCTGAATAATCATTAGTGTATTGGAAGGAGGTAACTTGCTAGTTAAATAATCTATATTTCATTTAGTACGTTGCAGGTCCGAACCCGCACTTCATCTATCTCGGTAATAGGCAGCTGATCACTAACATTAAGCTATTCATAAACAGAGTGGTTCAAACTTAAGAGACATAAGCCTGAAGCTGGTAAGTGAGTTAACCGAAAATTATCAGATTATTTTTGTCATCCACTTCAATGACTTTCTTTTTCTCTGTTCATTAGTAGTAGAACTACCTTGAATCATTGAATCTGTAATATTTTATGATACGGTTTGTGATGTATAAATAATCATAAAAGTAGTTTTCCGAAGGATTTATATCGGTTTATGTACCATTAGACATTTATTTCTCAAAATTTTAAATGTTTATCTCTTCCAGTGTGAACCTATGTCTTTTGAATAAATGAAAATGTGTAATCAGTCTACTAATCATAACATTTGATGATTCAGTTTAGATAAGTTGTAGAACTTACCTCATCTTTACGAGAGAAGTACACACTGAATGTAACCAGAAAAGCAAGTGCCAAAGCTCCTACTAGAATTGCGTACTAAATGGAAATGAATATAAAACAGACAGTTAATCGTGAATGATAATTATAGAACAAAAGAAATAAAACACGAGGTATTACTTATATGAAAAGTTCAGTAGTTTGTGGCTAGTAACTAATATTTCAAATTATTAGCCATTTGCACTGATTAATATTGGGTCATTAAGTAATGTAGTGCATTGCAGATCCTAAAACTATTTCAATATATTAGTGGAGCTGGTTACTGTGTACAATTATTTACGAATGACTAAGTGTTACCTATACATATCAAGTCAAAACTTACAAGGCATTTAAAAACCATGAGACCGTAATCATTATTACCCACTTTTTTCATAATCAGTTTTGGCGATTTGTGGAGATCGTAGTATTTTCAAAGTTGAATTCATGAGTCAATCTAAACTAGACGACGTTTTGAAACCTGGAAGCACTGGACAGGACTCCTCAGAAGTGCTCATCCAAGCACCCGCACGCACGAATTGAACACGAGATCTCCGGTTTCGCGCGCTAACACCAACTCTAGACCACTGTGCCGGGATGTGCACTGTTGAGGAGTCACGTACTAGGACGAGGCGGCCATACAGTGCTTCCAGGTTTTCAATATTGGTCTAACTTAGATTGCTTCGTGAACGCAACTTTTTTTATAAATCAATGTTTTTAAAGTTTCTGAGTTCAGCTATTCTCGTTTCTAGTCATATAGAAGTTCGAGAGGTCTGTTCACTGAGTATTCTACCACAAAGAAAGTGGGATATAGATATAATTTTGGGGTCACCACTCAGAAAATTAGTAGTTCATAAATTCATTCATGAGTTCAAACCTTAATCCATGAATCTCAGTTCTTGCAACAGTACAGTACGTTAGGTAGGAATCGTTCCATCTGATCTTAAGGGATGACAGTATTTTATTAACTAAGGTTTTAGTATTGCAGTCAAACTAGTAGAATTGACTTGATAATGTAACCAATATAGATCTGGAGAGTTAAGGTGTAACTGATTTCAAAGAATCTGAAAAGCAAGCCAATAGATCCCTAGGAGTTCTAACACAGTTAAATTTGACCTAATATATATTTCTATATATTTATAATACAGTCGAATATATCGATAAAAGTGCGTTTGAACAATTTTGTTAAGACTCAATTAAGTACTTGGTTTTCTTCTATTATCACTTCTGTGAATTTTATCATTTTTTAAACCATAAATTTGGCTAGAATAATCAATCTACTCCACGTATAGAAGTCCCATGTTTCCTCAAGTAATGTGAAGATGCGTGGTAGGGATAAACTCCGCTCTCGTTCAGATATCTGGCCTTGCACCTGGCAACCAACCAAAAATGAACCGAGACTTATTACTTACATCATCGTGATTCATAAAGGAGGGTGTGTTTCATTCTCTATCGTCTTTGCTGGATTGCATGAAAAATATAGAGTTTTCTACAACGAAAATACCACTCCTTTATGCTACGGACGTGTCAAGTGTAACGCAGTTTGTCATGATGGAAGAAAACTTACAACATGCCAAAACTCACACCTCTAATTAACTATATAGTAAAAATTATTCAAAAATATCTAATGTTAAGTGAATAAATAAACGAAAACATAACTGTAATGACTGAATACGATACACTTAAATGATTTGATAATGTGGGGTTTATCCCCAACCCTTTGAACTAAAGAGACAATTTACTCTAAGTTCGTTTTTGATGTTTAGTAAACTAGCTTGTTTCTCATTGGTAAGACAACTACATACTTATAACTTACACCTGTTACCCCTTATTAAGGAGTATAGGCTACTCACCATCATTCTCCATACATACTCACTACTCATGATAAATTGTAGAAGAATCTAGATTATATCCTAACCATATACCCCTTAAAGAGGAAGAATGTATTTGTAAAGTCTCAGTGAATAAATTTTGAAGTGAATCCAATGTTTCACCTAACCATCTGGTCCAAACTTTTTTCAAGGAATTATCTCTAATATCTCACATTAACTCGGCGCTCAAATACTGTGAAACTATTCGATTAAATTTAGACGAAAGTTCTTATTTATTACCTACACCCCCTTGTTCCTTTTTTTAGGTATCACAAGGTACATAATTTTTTCTCATTTAGTCAATCAACTCAGTCAAATAATAATTGTAACCATATGAAAAGTCTATATTGAATTAGTCATCATAATGATCAACTATAGTCAAACTACTAAATATAGAATCAAAAGAACAATGTGGTTCTTTCTTTGTAACGGATATAAATTGGAAAACTAAATATGAAAAACAAAATACCCATTAAGATTCATAAACTTTATGTAAGTAGCGAGGGGGGGGGCTAACCATTTTTATTTATCATTAAATGATCAATTAAAGTAAAAAAAATTAATTAATTTCCATTTTTAATGTAATGAAATTTATTATTATTTTTACTTACTATATAAAGTAGTATCTTCATATTGCAACAGGCTCCACAATAACCAAATATTGAGATACCTGTACAAACAGCACCTAGGATAAAGACTGCTAAACCAACTGGAGCTGGAAATAATAAAGATCACAATAAAAATACAAAAACAATTAGATATTATAAATATATTAATAGGTTGGTAATATCCCAATGAATAGAAAAATTAGTCAGTTTACTGAAGCTTAGGGTAAATACCGTTAAGTAGTCTAACACGAAGCCAGGTGCATGCTTCATTATATATTTATGGTTCATGATAATGATCGTTCCACAGGCTCACCTACGGAAACCTTGTTACAACTTTTATTTCCTTTAAATATTCAAATTACGTCATCTTCTCAGCATCAGTCGAACAGTAAAGCCATTACAACGACACCAATCTAACGATTTCACTAAACTATTCAATTGGTAGTAGCGACGGGCGGTGTGTATAAAGGGCATTATGTTTATGATTTAACTTAAATTATTAACCCTTAGGTGATATAAATCATATTCAAACTATTGATCGTAAATGACCTAAATTATGGGGAAGAAAGATGAGCTGGTACTCACTTTCTAAGAAATCAAATAAAGTGTATGTACAGGAACAAAACAAACACAATATTTTCACTTTAAATGTTGAAAGTCGAAGAAATGAAAAGATCATATGAAACTAAAGTATTGAAATGAAATTATAGAGTGAATGGTGATGAGGTTGGACAACATGAAATTGATTTAATCATTAATCTATAATGATTTTGAATACATGTTGCACACATACTCAAGTTGGCACTTAATCTATTCATGTTCCAAAGACTGAATATGGAAGATACTAATAAATTAGTTTGATCAATTAAATTTCACAGATAGTCAGAATAAGGAATCAGTATACCTTATGTTTACAAGTTCAAATAACATTCAGTATTGAGTTGAAACAATAATTGAATATTGAATCAATCGGATGTTAGCATTTACTCGTTATAATGTAGGTTATATTATCTACCTAAATTAATAGGATTTGAAAATCCTTTATTTTGTTTAAAGTTTAATTTCAATGAAAACATTCTATGAATGATACATTTAAGTGAGAGACACTTTACTGATCCTACATCTACTGTAACAGACTAGGATCTAACCACTCTATATTCACCAAATGAATTTCATTAATCCGCTAACATAGACAACTTGTAAGTTATTTGAATTTTAGTCGTTGATATCATGAGTCAATTGATGCTAGATCACCATAGAAAACCTCGAAGTACTGGATGGTCAATTCGATCTCGCCTCGCGAGATTCAAACCCAGGAACTATAAGTCCCACGCGCAAGCACTTAACCACTAGACCACTGAGCTGGATGGCATTCAGTGGTGTTAATGTCTAACTTCAACTAATACACGAAATTGAATGACACATCCACCATTGTCTTCAGTGAGTTACCATCTCACAACTGACCCTGTTGAACTCCTCTGATCACTGGTTCTCACTACAACACATCCTGAAACACATGTAAAAATGTTATATTGTTCATGTTTTACATTGATTATGCAGAGATGTAATAGAGCTATACCAATATCAAACATTTTAATATATTAATCCATTGTTATGATTTGAGAATATTTTATTTGACAGACTGAAATTAGTTACAGAATCATTGAGAATAAGGGAGCACAGGATTGATATTTCGTTCAACTACTGGATTTCTCAGAGAGGTAATTCGACGAATCAGACAGAAAATAAACTCATGCCCTTTTTAATCTCTCAGTAAACTTATTAGCTTTGAACAACTGAGTTGACGTTCATTAGTTGGCAATCCCAACTTCAATTATTTCACTGTATTGTATAAATATCATCTATCTTCATCTGTGATACTGTGGTGTGGGTTACTTATATCCACATAAGTAGTGTATAACGGTGGTCAAGCATAGAATGTATTTCAGTAGAAGATCGATAAGAAAAGAACGGGAACGGAACGCAATTGGTATGAAGATGCATGAACAATGAAATCTGAGACAATGATATTTGCAAAAGGAATAGTCACGTTTGAAACGATGGATTAATATTTTGCAAATTAACTATTTACTATATGATTCTCAGATTTTAGTGAGATGCTCTGTAATTTTGCGTGTCAAATACATCCCCAGTCGTGTTCTTGTTCAACACAGTGCGTATCTCACTCCATACCATTAATTTCTTAAAAATAAAACTTTGGGAACTTATTCTCAACTCATCTGATTATTATCAAGATGGAAAATTTAGCTAGGACCAACCTATCAATTTCAAAGACAATTTACATCAACAAATTGACTTTAGAACGTTTGCTAACGTAACCAGAAATGATTGTTCCCAACGTAGAAAATATAGAACGAAATTCGTTCATATAAAAGCTTTTGTTTCATTCTGTTCTTTCATTATGTTAAGATAGTAGATATCAAACTAAAATTAACTAATTAAAATCATCTATCATCTCTCTAATCGAAAAAAATGTCTTAAAACAGATCGATTATGGGTAGCAATGGAATCTAAGACGAGCTTTTCTTTCAACTCGGGACTCGTCAAGTGATCCCAACTGCATCTCAGTGTTGATATTCGCTCCGGGACTCGAACTCAGCGTTGAGTCCGGGAGCTCAGTGAATAAGAAGTTAGGCTTTTTGAGCTAAAGTTGAAATGGCTAAAGTCGATATAGTTGGTACAGGATGCATATATATTTCAACCAAAACTGGTCAAAATTAGTCAAAATATCAACAACGGAATATTTCAAACTCATTCTAATAATGATATAAGTGCCTTAAAAAGATAATCTTGTCAGTCATTAGAAATTCTTCTTCCTATATGGAAAATATCAAACCCACCTTTATTAATTCCTAAATTTCAAATAACAGTATTCTATCATTAACCATTTGATATACGCCCCCTGTATAAGTTATTTGACTAGAAAATGTTCACTCATATTGAGAATGAGGCATTTGTCACTGACGTCAGTAATACTGAATGGTTATAAATGAAACTGAAAATAAACATTATTTTGATGGAGTTTTGTTCTCTGAGCTGGAGAACAAAACTCCATCAAAATCATCCACCTGAGCTACAAATCTTCTCCACCATAAACATTATTTGTTATTTGCTCACTGACTGTTAAGTTGTAATGTGTTTGTTGTGGAAACTGAATAATTTAAGTTCAAGATCTAATGTAGACTTTTACTATAGAATATCTGAGAGTAACAAGTTACAGTGAAACAGATATCCAATATTTCATTTGAGTTTTCACTGATTCTCCAGATGATATCAGCTCATAATGAATACTGATCTCAAAAACTGAATTCATGATAAAGTCAAGTTAGATGGACAAGCACTTATATAAACAGTACCATCTATCCAATTCCTTGTTTCATTTCTGGTTACTCTCTTTAACCGATTTTTGACATCTCTTTATCTAGTGGCTAATTTCCTAGTTGAATTTTTAAATATAACAAGGTGATATTCTTATTATAGAAGGTTTATAAAAATGATTCGATTCATGGTTTATACTGTCAATTAACATTGGTTTTAAAGTCAAACTCTTGTAACAGGGCTTGAGGGTCCCGATTTCATCCCCTAGCAGGGTTGTGGATGATCATTGCTAAATAACCCTTTATGAAGATAAAACACACATCCAAGATATCCCGGTTTTAAATAGTTCTGTAATCTATAAGGTGAAATTAATCATTGATTGATGATATAGAGGCCTGTTTATGCAGCTTTCTTATTATGCTCTCTTTGAGGTAATCACATATTTAGTACGCTTTGTGTCTATAGATTTGTTTGTCAGTGAATATGAATGAAAAATTTAGTTGAGATGCCTATTCATAACTCAGTTTAACCAGCTTACCAGTGAATTCTGACAGTATATGGATAGAATTGCAGGAAAACTACAAAAATAACCTTGAAAACTTCCGATATCATTAATACCCTTCAGTGGATTTCACGAACCAAGATCCTATACATAACATAGGAATAAAAGTACTTCTAAATCCCTGCGTTTGATTCCAATAGGTCATATGTTTAACTTAAATCCACTTGTGTGATGTAGTGTGATTTTAAATCGATAATATTCACCTTACATGAAAGCTTATACATTTATACTCAACAATTTTAGAGATTATAGCAACTCTCCTACAATCAATTTCGATTATGGTTAATCTTGGTTAAGACCTTTTATAAACTTAACAGATAATGTTATTTCAACAGTAACAATTCACATATTTCTTTGTAACATATTATGATCACTATCTTGTCTGTATAAACATGTACGCTTGATCATATGTAACAGCCTGCGGACATATCTCTTACTAGCTTATATATTGGTAGTTTAAATATCGCTCGATAAATCATTCTCTTTGCCATGTATATATGTACTTGGATCTTATTATGAGTCTTTGCCTTGCCTAGATGCGTCCTTATTCGATTTGACCATAAATTCACCTCTGCATTCGCTCACACACATAAATCTACCTCTCTGCTTAAAATTCGCTCGATTCACTTATAACTTTGTTATTCGTACTATCATTTAATAAACTGCAGTCGCTACTTCTTATTACCTTCTAATTTCAAATACCACTGGGATTTATATAATAACATTTACAAAGGTGATTGATTAACGAAAGTAAGTTACTACTGTGGTGTGTGCTACTTATATTGACAATAAGTAGTATATGATGTTAGTCGTGAACAGAAGGTTTGGCAGCAGAGACAAAAGGATCGAACAGTAAAGAATGGAAACAGGATGTAATTAGTATGAAAATGCAAGAACAATGAAGTCTGAGTCATTTTGAGACAATTGGTGGACATTTTGCAAATTAAGCATTTACTTTATGATTGTTAGACTTTATTAACAAGTCCTGTAATTTTGTGCTAAATACATTCGATCGTCCTCACCCGTGTTCTGTTCACCACATTACAAGATTTCTATCAATTTGAGACCGATTCATGGAAATTTAAATCCTATATGTCAGTCAATAAGCAATCGGGATTAAGTTCCGTTTATGGATTTTTTTTAAACAATAAATCGTTCACAGCGCTTAGATTGATTTTTAGAGAAAAAAAATTGACTAAAATTGTATGATCATATATACACTGGATATTTTACTGAGAAATAAAGGTGAACATTCTGGTAACTCGACTATGAAAGTGTGACATACATTCCATTTTGAATGATTTTATCGAGTTAAATCGATTTTAATTTTGATATGGTGTATAGTATTGATTCAGTTGACTTTCATAGGTCTCTAAGTCAAACATAATGTTCTCACCTAATCCCATTCAATATAAGATTGAAATAAACAAAGACTATACTGTTGTTCATTTGATGATTACAGAGTTCAAATATGTAAGGAGTGAACCAGTGATTACTAATGATAATGGATGTTTATGACTATATTTCACATTTGAAATTGTAAAATAATGGTTAGGAAGAATAATGGATGCTACAAGACCTAAAGGTTCTTTGTTTGAACCCTAGTATGGCCATGACTGCATTGTGCTGAAGCATCTCATATTATGATGAAATCGTTATCCAACTCTTCCTAGTTTCCAACAATGCCCTAAATAAGGTCAGTTTTTGACGAATAATACCTACAGATGATTATAGTTTAAAGTGATATCAGAAATTGAGTTTAAGATTTGAACCCTGTTCGTTTCACCCTGGACGAGGCAGATGTTATATATTATTGAGCTTGTAAACTCGTAATCAACAACATTATGTGAGTACAGTTGCTATCCTTGTATCTCACAACAAATGAGTCAGTTAACTAGCGGTGACTTTAGTCGTACCAACTGTATTGTTATACTTTTGTAACCAATTAACTAAGTAGTTCAGGAGTACAATAGGTCGTGCAACCCGAGTAGCTAACATCACTTCCACAACGAAATAAAATATTGTGCTCCTAAATGTCTGCGTGTATGGTTTTAAAAACTGTACATGCTTTGCTGTATTTCTTTGCTCGTTGAATTTAGTCAACTGACATACTGTTCATGGAGAATCCGTGTATCGGAAAAGTACAAATTATTACCCTTAACTTAATCACAAAATCACCAAGCGTATAGATGACTTATTCAAGCAGTATAAATATGAACAGCAGATCATATCATGAAAACTTAATATTTTTCAAAAATATTTTAAGGTCTCAATTAGATTACCATTTACACGTAAATCATTTTCTAATGATCTTCTAGAGTTACTTAAATTATTCACCCATCTTCAGTATGTTCGACTATAGCTACTCTGAATGAATAAAAACACATCAAGTTAACATTATAAACTGTTGACACAATAAACACAAAATAATACGGGAAAATTTATCAGCAATATAACATGCTACTTACAAGTAGACGTCAGTATTCTTGTAACCAGTTCATTAATTTGTCCACCATCACTTCCTTTAATATATTGATGAATTAGATTGGTTACGAAATTATTCAATAGAGATTGTATAACACTTTGACCCCAAACCATCAAGGCTCCAAGTATGAGCAATGCCAGCCCTACAATCTTTATTTCAAAAGATTGATAAGTACAGTTGATTAATATTTTGGATGCAAAAATGACACAATCTTGTTCCAATATTAAACATTATAGCAACATATCATCATTTCATTTCATATTAACTCCATCTTGAAGTTGAACTGTAATACGAAACTATTTACTTATTACTATTTAACTCAATAGAACACAACATTAAAAGTAAGCGAATCCTTTCATTGAAATGACTAAAACAATCTTTTTTAAAGATATAAGTAATTTAAATTCATCTTATGTTGTTTGTTTGCATCAGGCTCTTATTGGCATATTTGCATCTTCTATGGATTGCCTTGATATTACTTTAAGTCACAAGCATTATAAGCAAAAAATGGATGGTGGCTAGACGTGGAATCCAGGATGCTTGTGGATAACGCGATGGCATTTGAAGCGAACGGTACTGGGTTGGAGTCTCGAAGTTAACATCAACTCTGGAATGCAGGTACATTCAACTGAAGTCTCAAATAGGATGAAACGCGCATCCTGGATTCCACTGATAGCCATATCCATCTTCGCTTATATAGGTAATTTTTTGAGGATTAAATAAAAATAAATCTTCCCAACTCTTTATATTTAGATACTTACCAAAATATTTACAATGTTTATGAACAGTAATATGCTATTTCTATCTCTTATTCAAGATATTTCTGTTGTATACTGAACTTAATAAGATGTTTGTTTATGAATAAAACTAAAGTTTCCATGAATCGGTCTGACTATGGTTTACATATTATACAAAGGACAAAAAGATTATGATTCATGGGATTTTTTCCACCAAAAAGAATTCATGAACCATATAATCATTCAGTCCTAGACATTATATAATCTGATATAACTGTATAACAGTTTAATTTGTTACTACTCACACTAACATAATGAGAGAAGAAGTGTTTAACATGAGAATTTAGAAAGTGGAAATGATAACTTATTTTGAATGATATTTCTTATTACTTCCATTAATAGAGTTTGATTGTTCGGTTGTTCATAAGCAAGATTTCTACATTTACATTGACGTGTAACAGACCAATAGCTAATGACTTTACGAATTGATACCATGTTTATGGTTCGCTGTTTTATCTTTCTTTCAACCTACTTCTACACGAGCCAATATCATTCATTATGGCTGGGCATAATGGTTATGAACAAGATCAGCAACAGGCATTTTTAACCTTTAAAATTAATATTTCTTATTGTAGTAGTAAGAGTCTAGAAAGTAGTCATGATAAACCAGTATGGATTCATCGCATGAAAATTACTCATTTTTTTGGAAATACGTTAGACTTATTTAATGCTTATATAATTGTCTTGTGATAATCGTGAATTGATTGAAGTTATACATTAACGACGTTGGACGTTGGCTCAGTGGTTTCGAGGTTAATAGTTCACGTGCGAGGCTCACGGTCTTGGATTCGAGTCGCATGGATGGGGAGTTTCATACTAGGACGAAATGGTCGTTCAGTGTTTACAAGTTTTCAATGATGATCTATTTTAGATCAGTCCATCATTTCAATGAAATCATAAAACTATATAGACTCTATTTCATGAAACTTATTATTTAGTATACAGACATGTAAAAACAATAACAAAACAAGAAAATTATTCTAAACAATAAACAAATTGTAAATGTTTATCACAAATATTGTAGTTTTCTATAAACCCTGATTAGACATTGATCATCTATTTCATTGAATAATTAACAATAAAATCATTGTATAAATATGATTGAAAAAGTTAATTTAAGGTCAACAATAATCATTTGATGAATAGAATAACAATCATTTACATTAGAAATTAAACAAAATGTGTACACTATTATTAACTTTATTATTGAAATGTTCCAGAACATCATTATGACATTAGACTAATTAATACTTACAGTTGATTGATTATTGGGTGGTGATCAATTGCATGTACGTCAGGTCTTTCTTAGTGCAGATTGAATCCTATCGATCAAGTTACAATGTGGACACCAGTCTAGGTGACTTGACATTGTATGCACTATTTTGAGATAAGATGGTGGTTGGAGTTAGTCAACAAGAAACCCTAAACCTGGGTTTCATGCTACTTGGCACTCGTCAGCAAGGTGTACCTTTAATCTTCAGGGGAATGATGCTTGCTGACGAATTCGATCCCGTGTCACCCAGCTTCACGGTCATATACAATAATACACAGACATACATGACATTGATCACTACCCAATCAATTGTAAACACATCTCAGTTCTACAGAAGGTCAGTCGTGGCCCGGATAGCTCAGTAGTAACGTCTCTGACTGTGAAGCTGGGTGACACGAGATCGAATTCATCAGGGAGCATCAGTTCCCTTAAGATTACAGGCACGCCATGCTGACGAGTGCCAAGTAACACAAGACCTAGGTCCAGGGTTTACTGTTGACTACCTCCAACCACCATCTTAATTGATACTTGACAACTTCATTGTAGTTATAGAGTTATTTCTATTGTTAAACAGTTGGTTTCCTTCCCAACTTAGTGTTACTGATTTTTTAAAATGTTATTTTACTCAAAAAGAAAGTTTCTATTGTGAAATAATCTCATCAGTTGAATAGTTACTGAAAACTGTTTCACTAATGTTTTGGATTAATCATTCATAAATTATGTGATTTACAGTATGTGGTATTACCGCTGAGTTGTTTGTTCAGTGACTAACTTCCTGATACAGTTTCATGTACTAGCCTGTGAACTGCATTATTTATGTAAGAAATAATGATACTACTACTAACTGATTGTTTAAATCGAGTTAGGTAAGCCTAAATTATAATATGAGATTTAATGAATGATAGCCAAGTGCTCTGATCACCAAGCTATCGCTTTCGTTTTTTTTCAGGTAAGTCAACATCATAGGGACTACTTTTTTAATGTTAGCTAGATGTTGATAGTCTGCTGTTCAAAAGTGACCTTTTATTTTCATTGAATACATAGGTAATGTCATTCCATAATTAAAAAAAAATACTATTCGCCGTAATGATAATATCTCCACCCGTTACCCTTTTGATCATTATCTTTCAATCAGAACTATTTACAAATAAACAGGTTTATATTGTTCAATCAATATCAGTTCACTTTGTTTTTGTACTGTGATAACATTTCAAGATAACTCCGCCTGGAGTCCCTCCCGGGGGCTACTGCCGGTCCCAAGCCCGGATAAAGGAGGAGGGTTGGGCATGGGGTTAGCGACCCATCCTGTAGAAAACTAACTCACTAAAAAAACGCTAATCAGAAAAAAATTACTCAAACCCAAACATTTCAAGATATATCTGAAAACAAGAAATATTTGGGTAAACCACTGTTTTTAACAACTTCAACCATCCTTCTCTATTGTTCTAAAAACACAAATATTACATAACAATAGCCAAAATAAGGCACATAACAATAAGTGGACTAGACAATGTTTTATTGTCAAAATAGTGAACTTTTGAATATTTCTTCTGAGAACTACAATTCATAGATCTTTGTATCACTTTGATTTGTTATTGAATGAAATGTACAAGAGAGAGCATCTAATACATGAAACTTACCAAGCTGACAGTGTTCATAGCAATCAAAACAATTCGACATGGTAGATTGCACAACATTTTTCTCTTTGTATAAAAATTAATTAATTACCTGTAAAGAATAACATGAAAGTGATTAATGTGAAGAAATGATTCTGTCATTTTTAAAGAGTATTAACAAATCAAAATGAAATATTTCCAGTGATGTCCAGTCTTTAGAAAAAGACACTTTATATTGACAAGGTGTAACTCCTACTTTACGATTGAAATGATGAAACAATCAATGTTAGACCACCATTGAAAACCTGGAAGCATTGGACAGTTGCTTCGTTTTAGTATGGGACTTCTCAGCAGTGTATATCTACGATCCCGCACGTGGGATAGGAATTCAGAACCTTCGGTTCATAACCCTATCCTATTTTATGCTTCAATAAACTAAATTATCATAAATTATCATTTTCATATGTTTATAGTTGAAGGATATTGTTGTTGAGATTTCTGAAAATCTTCACTGTTAACAAACATCTAAATTTATTCTTTGCCTGGTCTGAGGCCACCTTCTGGAATTCTGCCTAAGAATGATGAATCAAATGGTTAATATCTTGCGTTCTGTAATATGTGCTTGATTGAGGAGATTGAGCATATTATTTAACTTTTTAAATTATTTACCATATCCATTCAAATAATACAAGATATTTATTATTTATTTGAACATACAAACAACTGTACGAGGGGGCACCAAATACACCACACAATAACAATGAGGCTAGCAGTAATCATTGATTTGTGTGAGGGCTGTGATCCTGCCCGTGTGCCCAGACCGAAGTAGGTGATTTTCTTAGGGGGCCACACCCCGAGCCTATGACCTGAAAGTATAATTCACAAGGCAGTGAGGCAACGTCAGTCCCATGGTAGCCTGTGACGAACAATTGGTACATACGCCACTTGTTCTCTCAGGCTCCTGGGGTACATGTGTGCAACTGGTTTGAAATCAGGGTTTTCCAACTCCCTTAAGTGGATTCACCATATCCACCACCCCAGTTAAAGCACCGGACATTCACTTTTCGTCCTCTCAATTTCATATACAGCATCCGCTCAGCAAGAAGGCAATAAGACTCCCGTGGTAGTGGCTGCACACGCGTGACCGTAAGAGAGCATTTGGAGAGGGGGAGCTGACTCTCCCCACTGTCAGCCGTACTAGAGCATTTGGGGGCAATAAAGATGTACAGTGAATTGAAGAAGTTCTAGTTATTCACAATATAAACTATACATGAAAACAGTTGTTTGGAAACTTTTCTTTAACATGACCTTAGCAACTAGGATTGAGTGAAGAAATTTAAATATAAAGAGAAATAAGGCACAAGTGAATTAATCCTTTTACCTGACCTGTAGATTTTAAAATCAATAACCATTTTTATTGAACTCATAACATAGTTTATCTTTTCTTAAAGATTCTCTGAGAGAACTTTACATTTTCATTCATTGATCATACACAAATATACACCTTTATTTGACCTTAATTTCTTACAATCTTGGTAAAAGGTTATAAGCAAACGCACAATCAATCAGACTCATAATACTTAAAATCGAATTATTAAGTTGATAAATGAGAAAACGAGAACAGTCATAGTGAAAATTTCTTTGAATAATTCAATTTTGAACAGTTTAAAAGACATACAGACCGATTATTACAAGAAAAAATATAGCCAGTATAGAACTATCCATATCATTGTTGCTTAGGTTATCAGATAGTTAGTTGGTTCAGCCCAAAGGTAACAATGTGTACACTTTATAAAAGATAGAATATAAATACTATATTATTATTATTGTTATTATTACCATTATCAAACCATCCCATCGGTAATATATTTTTCTCTCCCCCTCCCTCCCTCCCTCCGTCCCTCTCATTCTATCACTTTTTAATCATATTTTAGAAATAATAATAAATAAATAAACAATAAGAGATACATTAATTCTTATTTTAACTTCCCTTTTCATGTATGTTAATTGTTGCCTTTGTTTGTATATGTATGTGAATGAGTTAAGTGTATAACTGTGTTACATATGAATTTTAATGGGATTTTGTTTAAAAAGCAAACAAAGGTAATGTAAATTCTAGAAATGAGTTTTATTATTTTGTTGTTGTTGAGTTTTATTAAACAAAACAATTTTTTGCCAACCAATAAAAATCAAACAATCCACCTTAGCAACATAAACCTTACCTACCAATAAAATTACTGTGTATATTTATGTGTAGGGAAAGTGTAACTAAGGTTAATTTGTTGTTTTGTTCCATAACAAAAAAAATGCATTTATAGTAACATCTTAAAATATGGACTGCTCTAACCAACTTGGGGAACCATTGATCAATATGTTATTTATCATATGATCAATATTTGTATTTTATGATTGAGATCATGAACTGATTGATGCTAGACCATTGTTGGAAACCTGGAAGCAGTGGACGGCCGTTTCGTCCTATTGTAGGACTCCTCAGTAGCGCGCATCCACGATACCGCTCAAGAGATTCGAGCCCAGGGCCTTCAGTCTCGCGTGGGAGCGCTCAACCTACTGGACCACTGAGCTGGCCGGCATCCAGTGGTGTTAGTGTCTAACATCAACCAATTCACGAAATCGAGTAACCATCTTCCATTGTACTGAGGTTGATACCTGTCTCTGCGCGACACAGATTAGCTCCATTGGTCACGGCTTCTCACTAGAACTCCGATAATTCCCTCATGAAGCTAGTCACTAGTGAGCACATGATTTTTATATTAAGTGTAGTTCAGATCAGAGAACTTTTTACAATTCACAAGGGAAGATAAGAAAAGTGAATGGGATATGGATGACAAATGGATACAACTACAATTATAAAACTAATATTGTTAGTATTCTTATAAGTATTGGTATAATTATTATTAACAATAGTAGTAATGTTCTCATCCTAATTGTAATTAGAACAAAAAAACCAAGTTCATTTTTTTGTTCCTCACAAAATGGTCTCGTGATTTTTATTACATTCATTTCTTTCTTGTTTGTACTATTAAAGCATTGTTTCTTTTTCTTTCCTGCTCGCTTTTAATATTCAATGTAAGTTCACTATAAAATGCAATATTGTAATGCATTAGCCCCCCCCCCCCACCGTCAAGATTAGTGTGATGAAACAATGAAAGTGTATAACAATTAATTTGTTAAAATAAAAAGGTTCATTGAATGAATAGTTGAACAATTAATTCACACGTTCATATGTACATGTATGTCGAGAGAGAGAGAGAGAGAGAGAGAGAGAGAGAGAGAGAGAAAGCGAGAGGAAGACAGAGACTTGAATGGTGAGGGAATTGCATTAATATCGCCTTTGCTTACAAATATTTAATACGAAGTCCTACTTTTAGCATAAATATCAACATAAAGATGGAGGTATATACAACTGACGAGGTACAAATAGAACCAAACATGTATATTGGATTCCATTTCTAGTCAAATCTATCCATTTCATAGAAATTGTAATCGTCATTGTCACTAATCATCTACACATTGTTAGTTGAAATACCTTTGATTGACTGATGAAGTTCTTTCTTTTAAAATAAGTCAGTCTTCAAGATTACGTTTAATTGCCTTCATGTTAACTATGAAATTAATGAAAAATAAGGAATACTAAGACAAAGTATCTACTATTTCTTAAAATATTCTAAATATGACTATTATTAAATGGGAATAGGAAATTTGTGGAGGGACATCAAGGACCGATCTTAGTTAGATGACCACTGAAAGCTAAGAACCACTGGACTCCTCATTAACGGTCTAAGGATAAGAGCTTTGTCATGAGACTTGAAGGTCATGGGTTCAGTCACCTATGGAAGAGTGACTTATGTTCACCATTGAAGAATTTCACAGAGCACCAAAATAATCACCCACTTCTTCCTGGTTTCCAATAGTTGTCCTTTTAAGATCAGTCCGCGGTGTTAATCATGTTATTGAATTCTGAAAGATTCAATTGCCGTTTTTTTATAAGAAAGAATATGAGCTGTCCTCGCAATGCTTCATCGGAGTCTTAAGAAGTAAAAAAGAATTGATACAACATTCTTGTTCATCGTACACATAAATATCGTAAACTGATATATAATTGTATTTATTCAGTAAGAGACACTAATCTATTAATTTATGAAGATACCACCGTGTAGATAATTTTTAAACATGATTCGGTAATTCAACGAGATTAAATATAGACCCATTAATACCTAGAAGTCATCCTTTTAATTAGCGACGTGTCACGCCATAGACAGTAATTGAAGTGAAGTAGTCGACTAGTAGAGATTCATCATCATTTTAATACTAAAGTAAAATATATGGATTATGAAAATTTAATATTATTAGATAATCTATCAATTAATTTTTAAAGAATACTTAATTGTATAATAATAGACAACAGAAACAACCTATGAAGCAATTAATGGCGAGACTATAGTTTATGGACGAACCAATCAGATTTACAATAACAATTCTTAGATTTTTGCTCGAAATTCATTCACCCATTTAGCTAGAATATTGGCATTATAGCTGATGTCAATTCGTGATGAAAACCCTAAATCTAATTCCTAACCATCAACTATAAATTATAATCGTTATTCCACAAATTGCTTTATAACCCTTATTTAGCTCTAGTAAGTAGGTAGACACTCTCAAGGTGACTTGAGTGTCGCTCAAAGATTGTTCGTAAATTATAGTCTTAGCTAATTAATAGTGCAAGAATAAAGAATTAAACAGAATGACATAAATTCATTTTATTTCGTCAGGTTTTCATCAGTTGTTTACAAACTAGAATATTTAAACTTAAATCTTGAGATTAGATGGTGGTTGGAGGTAGTCGACAGGAAACCCTGGACCCGGGTTTCGTGCTACTTGGCACTCGTCAGCAAGGTGTACCTGTAATCTTATGGGAACTGGTGCTCCCTGGCGGATTCGATCTCGTGTCACCCAGCTTCACAGTCAGAGACGTTACTACTGAGCTATCCGGGCCACGACTGACCTTCTGTAGGACTGAGATGTATTTACAATTGGTTTATCACTGGGTGGTGATCAATGTCATGCTTGTCTAGTCCTTATTAGTGCAGATCGAATGCTATCAATCATGTTGCAATGTGGCCACCAGTCTAGGTGACTTGACACTGCGGGCACAATATATTGAGATTTAGATGGTGGTTGGAGGCATTGCGCCGAGGAGCACCAGTTCCCATAAGATTACAGGTACACCTTGCTGACGAGTGCCAAGTAACACGAAACCCGAGTCCAGGGTTTCCTGTTGACTACCTCTAACCACCATCTAACCTCAATATATAGTGCCCACAGTGTCGAGTCACCTAGACTGTTGGCCACATTGCAACATGATCGATAGCATTCGATCTGCACTAATAAGGACTAGACACGCATGACATTGATCGCCACCCAGTGATCAGTCAATTGTGAGACTTAAATCTTATCTGATTTATTATATTCATTTTCACTCTCGCTACTTCATGATGATGTTATATAACCATTTTTAATTTGTAAACAGCTAATGAGAACTTGATGAAATAAAATGAACTTATGTTATTCTGTTTAATTCTTTATTCTTTCTCTAATAAAGATAATAAAAGAACTAAATATATTTCACTGATTGAAATCATAAGTCAATTGAAGCTAAACTACCATGGAAAACTTGAAAGCACTGGACGGCCGTTTCGTCCTAGCATGAAACTCCTCAGCAGTGCGCGCCCACGATCCCGCACTCCGCGAGGTTCGAACCCAGGACCTATCAGTCTCGCACCAAACGCTTAACCAACTAAACCACTGAGCCGGGATCCAGCTTCAATTGGCTCATGATTTCAATCAGTGAAATTTCTAAAATCTCCACAAAACCCCCTTCTGATAACTAGATATATGACAATTAATGAGTTTTCTTTAGTGTTTATCAAAATCAACATCTATTAAGCTACATGATACATTCATTAGCTTAAATAAAGTTTTTATCCATTGAAATTGTTTACATTGAAGAAAAATAATAATAATAATAACAAAGAAGCCGACAAGATGATCAAACAGTATTTGATTCTTTAAACATTCAATGATTTGACCATAAATATTATAAACATTGATTGAAGTCATGTTAATGATCAATTACTTTTTCTATGTAATTGAGATCATTCTCACTTTATTAAAAAGTAAACAACGAACGGTCTCTTTTCATCTTATTATTTTATTCTAAACAATATCATGGATAATTGAACATCAAAGTTATTTGATCTATTCATCATGAATGTTTATGACAAGTAATGCTAATTGATTCATTAACTGGAAAAAAGAAAACAAACCAGATGTAAAAAAGAAAGCAGACGAACAGAAAGATGCGAGAAGAAAAACACCTCATGAAGAAACATGATTTCCAAGTGATAGAAACAGAAAACTCTTGATTGTGATCATGAATCGATCGATGTTAGACCACCATTGAAAACTATGTACTGAGAAGAGAAGATTTGTAAGATGCTATCATATAATTGCAATATGGTATTTCAAAACACTGTCCATTATAATCTTCCTAGTTTATTGTAGAGCTTATCTATATATACTGCATATAGCTTAAGCCATTGATTCAAAACATTGTTAAACAATTGTAAACATTCTGAATTAATTTTGTTAACTTATCTTACTACTGTTGACGTCAGTACGACCCGAAAGTTTACTTTACGTTTCTTTAAATACTAAAGTAGAATGATTTACAAATAACCTCTCACTATTTTGCCATATGGAACTAGTCATCTATTTGATGTTGATCGGTTATATGAGCAACTAAAATCAAACTTTTCATTCATACTTTACTACTGTTAGTATCGGACTTTTAAACAAAGTATTTAGACATGACCATTAGTTATTATTATTATTATTACGATTGTAGGTTGTAACCCATGGTATTGAAACATATTGAGAGTGAAACAATCATAGCTAATGGGATCCAATAAATTTTGTGCCATATTTCAAATTGATTGACGTTGGAAATATGTATCAGTAGATTTCAATACAGTGGTCTGGTGGTTATATATATATATATCCCTTGCCTGATTGCAAATCTACACTTTTGAGAAGTCTTATACTAGAACAAAACAACTGTCCAGTACTTCCTGATTTTCACTAGTATATTGACTAAGGTTAACCTATCATAAATACTGCCCATATATAATCTAATATGTCAATACTACTTAAGAAATTGACTTCTTTATTAAATCACAAAACTTCAATGATATAATGACTTATTCACTTAATAAATTCCGTCCTTAATTACTTTTTATTAGTTGGACTGATAATCCTAAATTTATAACTACTACGAACTAATTGACCATTGATTATGAAAAGTCAGCAAAATGTCAGTGATTTTTACGTGTTTAAATAGTTCTTTCCTACATCAAGGAAAAGTTACTTTCTGTTTGTAATAATCCTGAACAGTCAGTTGGTCACCACTTTTTTGAGGGTTTTGTAATGGGTACTGAGTGAACAAACTCCGCCTGTAGCTCTTCTAAAGTTATTGCCGTTTCCAAGTCCCGATAAAAGAGGGGGGTCGGATATGAGGTCGGCAACCCCATCCCGTAGAAAAAAACCTTGCTAAAAGACGCCAACCAGAATAAACAATTTACGAAGAGGAAAATGCTCCACATACTCAGGGAGTTGCTCTAATACTGCTCAAAGAAGCACGGACTGCACTTGTAGGATGGGAATCTCACGGATCCAGAACCATCAAAGCATCATTCAAAACAAAGAAGAAGGGTATCACAATGAACGTTATCCAATATTATACACCTACTAATGATAGCAACGATGAAGATAAAGATCAGTTCTATGAGAGGCTAAAATTTATCATAGCGAAGTGCCCAAGAAAGGATATCATCATCCTGATGGACAACAGCGGATATGATAATATCATGGGACGACATAGACTGGGAGAGAGAAACGAAAATGGGGAAAGATTTGCAAATCTATGTGCATTCAGCAAATTGGATATAGGCGGCACAATATTCCCACACAAACGCATACACAAAGCTACATGGATCTCACCGGATCACACTACGGATAACTAGATAGATCATATTTGTGTCAATAAAGAATTCAGGAGGACAATGGAAGATGTGAGGACCAGGAGAGGAGGTGACGTAGCTTCAGATCACCACCTGATTATGACCAAAATGAAACGATGGCTCAAGAAACTATGGACAGCTGGAGAAACAGCATCACAAAGGTTCAATGCAACCTCCCTTCGAGATACTGAAAAACTCAAGGAATCCGAGATAGCTCGCAACAGCAGGTTTCAGGTTACGAGATCTACTCACAGAGGAAGAAACTACTATACAGGACAACCAAAAAAGGATCAAAGAGGCACTAATTTCAACGTGTCAGTAGCCGCTGGGTCACAAGAAGCATCATCATAAGGTATGGATCTGAATAGAAACCCTGAACAAGATTCAAGAAAAGAAAAACAAGGAAACAGCAACCAACAACAGCCGAACAAAAACAGAGAAAGTCAAGGCACAAACTGAGTACACAGAAGGAAACAAGCAAGTGAAGAGGAGCATTAGAACCGACAAGCAGAAATAAAAGGAAGATCTAGCAACGACAGCGGAAAAAGCTGTAAGAGAAGGAAATACGAGATAACTATATGAAACGACGAGGAAACTCGTAGGAAAATACAGTAAACCAGAAAGATCAGTAAAGGAAAAACAAGGCAAGCCGATCACTGAAATTCAAGGACTGAGGAATAGATGGATAGAACACTTTAAGGAACTTTTAGATAGACCAGTTCCATTGAATTCCTGGACATCGAAGCAACAATAGTGTTGCTGAACCGGATGAAAGATGCAGTAGACGCCCAACTTCGAGATTCCGTAAGGATCGGTCGTGCACAGACCGAATTGCGACACTACAGATCATCGTCGAACGACCAGTTGAGTGGAACTCGTCACTATACATCAACTTCATTGATTATGAAAAGGCATTTGAGAGTGTGGATAGGAGAACATTATGGAAACTCCTTTGACACTATGGAGTTCCTGAGAAGATTGTTAATATTATACGGGATTCATACGACGGACTACAGTGCAAAGTCGTGCATGCAGGACAGCTGACGGATGCATTCCAAGTAAGGACCGGAGTCAGACAAGGCCGTTTACTCTCTCCCTTCCTCTTTCTTCTTGTGGTAGACTGGATTATGAAGACCTCGACATCTGAGGGAAAGCACGGAATACAATGAACAGCTCAGAACCAATTAGACGATTTGGACTTCGCAGATGACCTACCCCTCTTATTCAATGCACACGAACAGCTGAGGAGGAAATTGGGAAAGAACGATAGAAATGTATAGGACACACCAAATAAACCATGAAACTGTATCACAAGGCAAGTGCTAGCCTGGAATTCTGAAGGGAAACGAAAAGTGGAAGGCCGAAGTACATACTACGTCGGGAATTGGAAGCAGACATAAAAAGAACGAATAGCAACTAGAAAGAACTGGAAAGGATTGTTCAGGAAAGGGTTTTTATAGAGAGAAGTGGTGGGTTGCCTATGTTCTTCCATGAGGGGTAACAGGCGTAAGTAAGTAACTCAATGAACAATTAATGAATTATATAGCTTTTAGTGAATATTCTCGGCATGAATACTTTACTTTTTGATGAATTATACAAGTAATTTAAATATTTCAAGCGGAGATGGATGTTGGTTAGTAGTGACGCGCATTTCATTTTATTTAAGACTCGTCATCTGGATGACCCTGCATCCAAGACTTGATATTCATTCAGGCTAATCAGTCCAAAACAGGACGAAACGCACGTGATGGACTCCACTGATAGATACTAACAATCTCTGCTTGATTGACTGACAATATCGAGGCAATCTACACAGGATGCACGTATTCCAAAAAAGATCGATTAATTGCAGTCCTAAACATCAGTAGAAAGATTCAAACAACTAATATATGTCCGAAGTAAAATTAGTTTCAATTAGCTTAACTGAAATTATTTTCATGAGAATATTACATGACCGTATTTCATGATAAGTTATTGAGAAAAAGTGAACTATCTTACCAACGAAATTTCACATAAAATCACAAATGTATATTGGTGCTGCACAACATTATACTAGTCTTACGTTTTCTTTTATGGAAATAAATGGTTTTATTACAACAGACATACATATATAATCTGGTGTGATTCAATTAATAATTATCAGTATAGGATTGTGGAGATTGTTGAGTTTAGATTGATATATTTTAATGGATCAATGTTAGACCTGGGAATATTGGATGGCCGTTTCGTCCTAGTATGAGACCACTTCAACAGTGCGCATCTACGATCTTGAATACAGGATTCGACTTCAGGGCGTTCGGTCTCGCGCGTGAACGCTTAAACTCTAGACCACTGAGCCGGCATCCAACGGTGTTAATGTCTGTTATGAGGCAATTACCCACTGAAGACCCATAGTGGATGGTCCAGTAATATCGTGGATTGAGTGAAGTTAGATATTATTATTATTATTAATTGACAATGAAAATGTTATGAATTTCCAGATCTAACTTCTTTTCCATTTGTTATTGTTATGGTAATTTAAAATTGTTTAGTTTATGATAAATCATGAATAGTCAATCAAATCATGCTTTATATTAATCTTTTGCTCTTGTTGACAGAATTGAATTTATTATTTTGTTGTTTTACAATGTATTTTTCTTATTTACTTGTGCAGAACCAATCAATTATATACACAAAGTGTCTACACTGACTAATTCACATTACTATTTATAACTCGATATACTGGATGAGATACCATTGAAAACAATCAAAAGATTTCAACGTATCATATAAGTTGAAGAAGTTTCAACAGTTGGGAAAAAAGGTTTCGGCCTTGTTTAAGACATTTCAGTAGTGTTGATTTAAGAGTTGACTAAAGATTGAATTCAAAAAAGTCAAGCTTTTTAGCTGGCACTATAAATATTGACAGATCTAAGTTTTAAAATACAGTCAACTTATGATTTAGTGAGGATATTATTTACTATTGTAAGTAATGGTACAGTAAACATTGGGTTTCAACGATTCTTGAATTGAAGTCATCCCATCAGGAAAACTATAAGTTCAAACTGGAAAGTATACACTGATTTCTCATCTTAAAAGGTTTCAGTAAACTTTGTAAATATGACCGAATATTGTCCTATCTTTTAAGCTATTTTATTCTCTAATATCACAGACTGATTCTGATCAAATAATTATAGAATATTAAGAAACTCTAGACTGCGTTGAGCGTTTATCCCTCAGACCACTAAA